GTGTATCTGTTTTTAGTATTGTTTCTTATCCTTTTCCATCTAACTGTTGGGACAGTCAAGCATTCAGGCCACTTAATAAAAGCAAGGCAGCCAAATCGTCTGATTCTCGGGATAAAAACAGAATAGCTAGAAGCAGAATGAATTCACATGTACCAGAAACAGTTAAAAATTTTACATGCAGGTGAAAAAATTCCCCCAAATCTCTGTATTTCTGAGTTGGCCCACTCCTTTGTGAATACCATCATTGGTTAAAAAAAAAAAGTGGTATTTGCTTGAGTCCACATGCCATCCAGGCCTGTTCTGCTTATAAAGATTGAAGACCTCACAGCATTTGGTATCCGCAAAGCTTTCTGACCCATAATCTCAATGACTTCATACTTCTTGTTTCTAATGGACCTGTCTGTTCCTTGCTTTATTTCTTTTTTATTTAAGTAAAAAGTTGGTATTTACTAGAATGCATGCAGAGTTATAAAATGCATGAACATAAAATGGTATTAGTATATCCATGAAAAGCTATCTAATAAAATTCAAAGGAGGAAGCCTGCTCACTAAGCATCTCTGGAGGTGGTTAGAACCGCTAGTTTCACCAATAGTAGGAATATTTAAGATGTGTTGGAGCAGCAGTCTAATATATCTGCTGATATCTGTACATATGCCCACCAAAGATTAGGAAAGCCTTTACCTTTGAATTGCACATTTTAATGTGCAGAAGAAGTGGGGGAAGCTGAACATAAGCTACATCCTACACTAAATTGGGTAATAAACACACCATTGAAAGTAAGCCTTGGAAAAAGTTCTGAATTAAAAAAGAAGCTGCATGTGCACGGAATGCAGTATGATAGATCAATTCTTTAAAGCAACATGTTGTAAAATTTTACTGCTTTCTTGTTGTGTTTTATATCTTGTTCTCTCCAGGCTTCGTGGACTCGACCAGAGAAACAAGAGGTATAGCTTACCTGACCACTAGCCAGTCTTTAGTTTTTGAAAGCATTGCAGTTTAACTCACCATTGCAGTTGAATAACCAGACATGCTAAACTAATTAGTACTTTAAAGAATAGGTCAATAGTGGTAGACGTTAGTAAGCAATAGTGTCATTTTGGAATGAGCAAACAAGCTGTGTTGGGAATGGATGAATGAAACTATTATTTTCTAAAACTGGATGTTGTTTTCTTGCTGCTGGTGGTAAAACTGACATCCAGGTAATTATACTGATACAAAGAAATTGTCCCAATTCCCAGGTGCGCTGTGAAATGATGAGATTGTTTTTGACCCACATGGCTGATGTGCCTTTGGATTACAAAGTCACAGGGTTTCTGGTCTAAAACTCACTCAGCCCTTTCCCCTCCAGCCCAACTCGTCTTGTTACTCATTCATTTTACAATGATTGGTCCTAGTAAATGATCACATCACATTTCATCTCAAAAGCAGCACGAAAAAAATCTCTTGTTGATTTTTCCATACTACTAAACACATCCATTTTACTTTTATAGAGCATTAAATTTGTGAAATTAGGATGGTTTGCTAAAAATGGTGTTATGATTTTTAAAGTCAGTGGCATTTAACCTTTGAAATTTCCCTGACGATTTTGTGGAGTTTGGGTACTTGTGGGACTTAGTTTGAACTTTGAAACTAAATATTTGCATTTAATTACTGTAATCTAAGAAAGTCCCTATTTTGGACCATGCCCGTTATGTTTGACCTGACTTGTGTGGTTTCACTTGTAGTAAAATGTTGTGATTATACATGTAGCAGAGTAAGAATCAGTATGCTTTTTACTTTACTTTATTGAACCAATATACTTTAGGGTGAGATTCAAGGACCTAGTCTTTAAATTACTTTTTAAAACATAACCTTCATCTCTTCTCTAGTTGAAACTTCAAAATTTTAATACTGTAGACATGGAAGATCCTATAGATTGATTCAGTAAATCTATCCTCTTAGTCTTTCTGGAATGATAATTATTCAGAATACATACTTCATGTGTACAGATCATGGCTATAAATATTTAATATGGCTTAATATTTAAAAGTTGACTGCTTATCCATAGGCACTAATATTACTTTCTGCACATGAACATACTGCTGTTATCAGGATTAATTCTTTGCAAGTTTGGTTCACATCATACCTTCCTCCATGTCACAGGAACTCCAGTTAAGTGCAGGTGCACAGGAATCACTTAGTGCTGTCACCTGCTGATTGTTTTACTGCTCCAAAGTCATGGATTCACTGTGATTAGGGAAGGGAGAGAAGAAGGGCTAATTATTAGCTGTTCTTTAGCAGCTGCAGATCTCATTCTCCGTGGCCTTTTACATCTTCCTTCTGTCATTCTCATTAGATCTGGTTAGAGAATGAACTGAGATTTATCGGGAGCATTCCATAGATCTTAAGAGAATAAGTATTATCCTAAGTAGAAGTAATTGGTTTGCTCCCAGAAAATCAGGCACCTCACTCTCTGTTTTCCAGAAGGGTCTTTATCATGAGAGCCTTACTTTGGGCATAATTGCCTTTCAAGTCAATACCTCTGTGGGGTTCAGAAGTCCCATTCTCTCCTGTTGGTCTAGTACAGAGCCAAAAACCCAAGTCTGGCGGGTCACAAAACAAGACTTGGATTGTTGCCAGTTTCTTTGCTGCTGTGTGCTCTGAGAAGCCGTGGCTTTGGAAGAAGGGAGATAGAAATGTTTAGATGAGACACAGAGTTAGAAAAGGAGTCTTCTTGAGATGGTGATCTTCCCACTCTTGGCTGGATTTCATCCCTTCCTTTGGCAAGAGAACTGCACTGTAAGCATGGCTTTGGCCCCAGCTTTGTCCTGATGCCAGAGTGAAGCCTTTCAGCAAGAAGATAATCCAGTTACACTGGAATCTTCCTTCAAATCCTCAAAGGCAAAACTAGGCAGCTGGCAAATAGTCCCATCATCAAACCTGTAGTGAGCCACTGGGAAGTGAGAATTCTCTGTGGAGAGATAGCCTTGCTGATCTGTTCCCATCATTAAATGAAAGAAATTCCCACAATGAGAAATTTTAGAAATCAGATTGGTGGGGTGAGGGAGAGTGATCATCCATGTCACTCCTTTTCTGGGCTTCTCTTGCACCATTTTCCAGATGATTCTGGACAGAGAGTGCTCAGCGTCTGCTTTATTGCTGACAACAGCTTCCTTATACCTACACAACTTTCTTTACTCTTTTGCTTACAGCATCACTTCCTTGAGGAAATATTCTCTTGCCTTCCTGAGGATTAGGGTCAGACTGCCATGTTATGCTTTGGCAGCCCTGGAACAAGTCCTGTCTGGGTTGCTTAAAAATAATTCTTCATACAGCTGGGTGACCACAAAGGCTGGAGATGGACTTCCAGTCTTCTCTGCCTTCACTCTTGTGTGTGCAGCATAAGATGTGGCACAGCAGGCAGGTCATGCCAGGTCTTGAGAGATACTTGCAAGGGAGGATTCACACCCTTGAAGTTCCTTAGATAGACCAATGGGCCGAGGCTGTGTATGGCGAAGAAATAGCCACATGCAGAATACATACTCCCAACACTGCACTGTCCGCCCATGAGGAAAAGAGACCCAAGATCCAGTGTTTCCCACAACCTAGATGTCTTGGCTTTCCATTAAAGTGTCCCACACTTGAACGTATGAAGTGTTCCACACTCTCATCAGTGTATGTACGGCATCTCCTTGGATGCCTCCTCTCTACTGACCAGTCCCCTGGGTCAAATGGAAGCAACAGGCCATTCATCTCAGTGAGGGCTGGTGCTCGGGAGTGGAGAGGGATGATTGTGCACAACCTTGCTGTCTTCTCTATAGCAGCCTTTCCTGGCTTCCAGATGTGATAGCATGGGGTTTAGATGACTGAACTGCACTAGATGTGTTAGTACTGGGGTGCAGTCTTACATGCTACGTCTGCTACTGGAGCAGCAGGCCAACAGTGCTTTGTTTTTGAGATTCTCAGACTGGCAACTATGTCATTGCAGTCCTGGGCTTCAGACTTACAAACCAACATCTCAGAGGAACATGAAGCCAGGTGTCCCTTCCTTAGCTAAAGACCTAACCCATGGGATGAGAGCTAACCAAGGTGTCAGAGGCAAGATATCCTCAAAGGAAATAGAAGAAATGGTCTAGTCTACAAAATTCGAGACCTCTTCTTGAGACTGCCAACTTCCTTGAGGATGGACTTGGGCTCTAGGCCCAAGATCCTTCCTGGGTCAGTAGTCATTTAATTAGGTTGCCAAAGAAGGGAGCCCCTTAGAAATAGCCTAGTACATATTGCCTGGTGATCAAATACTTACTCTTATCTTGATCCAACTGTATGTAATGCCGGAGACTCAGAAAGCCAAAAGGAGTATCAGGGTCTAAAACTAATGATGCCTATGGTGTCAAAGATCCTAAATCAGCATGGAATGCTACATACCACTGTCCCTGGGAAGGAACCCATTTACCCCCATCTCCAGCTCAGTAGTTCCTGAGTTTTGAATTATGTGACTCTATTATAGAACTCTTTCACTCTTAAGCATCCAGGGAAGAGAGGCACCTGCAAAAATGTGGGTGTCTTGTATAACTCCTTACCCTGGGCCCATTCAGATTTCGCATTCTGTGTGCAGACACTGTGCAACTGGCAGACAGGCACACTGGTAGGAAAGGAAGGGAGTTCAAGCTCCCAAAGTCTCACTTATTGCTACTATAATCTTTACTGGCCAGGGCTTTTGTTTCCATTTCAAAAATTTCAAGCAATCTTGGGGGACCTACCCAATTCTTGCTCCTAATTAATTTTGACACACAATTCAGGCCATTTGGCATAACTAAGTCCTATTTTCTGTTTTAGTTATACCCAAATTCTCATTTTGCTCCCCAAAACCTCTACCATTAAGTAATATATAAGACTAAGGTCAGGAGAGAGGATGTGAGGTTGGGCACAGACAAGCAATGGCCCAGTCTCCTAGTCCCCTCCCTTGCCATAGCTCCCTGCCCTACCTCAGGTTGTGATGCTCTCCCTTTCCTCCTGGCAGACTCTGGATGGGCACATGGTGGTACGCAGCCACGCCCGCGTGTCATCCCTTACCCTGAAGAGCATTCAGTATACAGACGCTGGAGAATACATCTGCACTGCCAGCAACACCATTGGCCAGGACTCCCAGTCCATGTACCTTGAAGTGCAATGTGAGAAATAACGGGAAAGATGTGGGGGTGGAGATGGGGGGGTTGGGGAGGGAAGGCCCAAGTTGCACCCCTGCAGACTGTACTCTAGGTGGCAGTTGGTTAACTCTAAGCCGTTTTAGAGCAGTGCCTCATGCCAAGCCATGCAGCATCCTCAGCCTTTTTATAAGCCTTCCTCCCTGCCCTTGTGCCTTCCCATGTAAAACACCAGGCACTAGCTCTGATTCAGGGCACCCCCCCATTTCCTGGCACCAAGAGACAGGATATAGGGGACTTCATGCTAATACCAGCCATCCTGATATTTGCTGCCATTCATTGCAGATGCCCCCAAGCTACAGGGGCCCGTGGCTGTGTACACTTGGGAGGGGAACCAGGTAAACATCACCTGCGAGGTGTTTGCTTACCCCAGTGCTACAATCTCATGGTTCCGAGATGGACAGTTGCTACCAAGCTCCAACTACAGCAACATCAAGATCTACAACACACCCTCAGCCAGCTATCTGGAGGTGAGTCAAGGGTGGGCAGGGTCAAGAATGCACAGTCTGACAATGGAGCTAATTGTCTAATGCAGCTCCCATATTCCCTCTTGCTTCCCTGGGCATGGAAATCATGGGCTAGAGGAAAAACTAAACCTTGTCCTCAGCCACCTTTTGCCACCGCACTCACCATCTCCCTAAAGTCAGAACATGGAAAAAGGGTGCAGTGTGTCCTTCCCAGGAACCCTTTGCTGCTTTTATCTCTTGTTCAAGACTGGGCTGCACCTGCTGATTTGTGCTTTCCTAGTTCTGTTCTTTGCTCATGTAACCCAGTGATTAAGGCTCTGAGTCTCTGGCCATCTCATGCAACACTCATAACCGAAGAGTTCCTTTCACCTAAAGGTGACCCCGGACTCAGAAAACGATTTTGGAAACTACAACTGCACTGCCGTGAACCGCATTGGACAGGAGTCTTTGGAGTTCATCCTTGTTCAAGCAGGTGAGTGTCCCTCATGGTGGCTTTCACACCACCCTTAATTCTTTTCAGCCAGTTGGCTGTATTTCTGTGATGCCAGGATAGTGGCAAGAAGGGAATAACAGTGTTAGCAAAGCTATAGGGTCACGGAGGAAGCAGGGTTCACTGGACTTGTGAGAGCCTGAGCATGGAAGATGTTGTGGGAGAACCACAGGAGGAGGGGTACAAGGAGAACAGGAGACAATGACAGGTACCCTAGAGTAAACATATGAGAGTGACAAGGCATCCTGGAGTAAGTAGAGATGGCAGAGTTGTGCCTCTTGACTGGATTTGTTTCCTAAGAGTTCACCTGGGTCTCCACATGTGTCCTCCAGACACTCCATCTTCACCATCCATCGACCAAGTGGAGCCATACTCTAGCACAGCACAGGTGCAGTTCGATGAGCCTGAGGCCACAGGTGGAGTGCCCATCCTCAAATACAAGGCTGAGTGGAGAGCAGTTGGTGAAGAAGCCTGGCATTTCAAGTGGTATGATGCCAAAGAAGGTAAGTCAGCAAGAGTCAGTGTCTCCTTGGGGATAATGAATGCTGAGGCACCCAGCACTAGGCTACACACCAGACCCTGCCTGCCCATTTGGATAGGATAGAGCAAGCCAAAGGCCACCACCTACCGTCTGACTTATGTCTCTGGAGGATTAAGTCATGGTCATATCTCCATATAGAATTATTAGCCTTCTGACCCCTAGTGCCTCACAGCCTGATTCTCATAGCCCTGGAAGGGTAGATGAGGCCAGCCCAACCATGTTCCAGACAGAAGCCCTACACCAATGCCAGTCACTGCTAGAGGAGTGAGTGTAGCCACCCTTGCTTGGCACATGGGGGTTATCAGTGCTGTGTCCTATGTGGGAATCTGTATTCAAGGATTGCTGTATGATTGTGACAGTAACTCCATTAGTAGAACCAGAACCAGCAAGAGGAGCCTGTTCCAGAGACAACCCTATGATGTCTTTCCAGGCCAGAGACTTTTAAAGATGACCTTGAATCATGCAGTTTGAATATACTGAACCCAGACCAGCTGCAATTGGAGTTCAGCATGTCCAGCATCTCTTTGGGAATATTAGTAGGAATAACTCAGTGACAAATGCTTTGGATTTGTAGATATTTTCATTCTGATCTAGTATGTGGTCTAGTGGAAATGAAAGTGACTGAATCATTAATGTCAGTCACTCAGGGACAGGGTCAGACGTGGTTTAACTGAAAATTAGTTTTGGTGAGAAATCTCCCACCCCTGCTTATGGGGTAGGTGAGTTTGGAACTGAGAGGGACTACCACATAGTTAGGATTGGAGCGAGAAGGATGTGATCCTGTTTCCTCCTAACTTCCCCCTGAAACTTCATAGTCAGCAGGTAGATTCCATGTTATAATCTACCAAGCTTTTTTCCTTTTTTTAAATTTCAACTCTAGCTATTTTCCCACTGCAATAAAATAGGCTTAGGCTTTTAAAGTGTGTAATTCAGTAATATTAAAGTCACTGCTATCAGCACCATCCATCTCCAGAACCTTCTTACCATCCCAAAATTCTGTAGCCACACAATGCTATCTCCTCATTGCCTCACCTCCTCTAGCAGTCTCCCTTTTCCTTTCTGTCACTCTGTCACTATGAGTTGTTTTGTGTCTGGCTTATTTCACTTAATGTCTCAGAATCAGAGTGCATCTATGTTGTGGTATGTGTCAGAGGTTCCTTCTATATTAACCCTGAATAATACTCCATGGTGTATATATTCTGCATTTCATAAACTCACTCACTCACCTGACCATGGTCGTTTGAGTTGTTTCTACCTTTCGGTGGTTATGAATGATGCTGCTATGAGTCTGGGGATCTGGGTGACCCTTCATGTTCTGTTTCCTCTTTATTGAGTGGAATTGCAGGGCCCCATGGTAATTTCATGTGTGGATGTCACCAACATATCTGCCATCCTCCCACTGACTGACACCCCTTTGTAATACTTCCCATGTTCTCCCCACAGCCAGCATGGAAGGCATCGTCACCATCGTAGGCCTGAAGCCTGAGACGACGTACGCTGTACGACTGGCAGCCCTCAACGGCAAGGGGCTGGGCGAGATCAGTGCAGCCTCCGAGTTCAAGACGCAACCAGTCCGTAAGTAAAGCCAGCTGCCCCTCCTCGGCCCCACACCTGCCCTCTGCTCTTTGGAAGCGGAGACAACCCTCAGATGGCCCACAGCACAGTTTGGATGACAGTTTTGCCTTTCAGATCCATCCACCCATGGCAGCCCCACCTCCTAGTCCTCCAGCTAAGCCATAGCCTTCATCCTTAGGAGGGGGTGAAGGGACTTGGGGACACTGTTTTGAAACTGCAACAGTTTGTTAGATTAACAGCCCTAGGGTGGGGGTTGGGACGTACTATCATAGAGAATCAAAATAGCAATGTGCATGGCGGGTGGGGGTGGGATTTGGAGGATTCATTTTGACACGGGCGCCACCGTGGCTTGAGCACCCTTGAATAAAGAGGGTGAGGACAGTGGCAGAGCTGTGTGACTTTTGATGCACAGAGATGTGGGTCATAGAGAAATGGAGGCTGTTGTTAGGACACGAGTGTAGGAACCCAATCCCATATTACATGAGGGAAAAAGAGGACCATGACATTGGAATCTCCTGTCCTGCACACACATACACACACACACATGGAGTGTTTGTCACAGTTGCCCCTCCTCTCGACTTCTTTCCAGACAATTGCTTCTCCCTGATACTACTCGGGCTGCTATCTGTGTTCCCCGGTCATTTCTTGTTCCCTTAAACACAGCCTGTCCTGGTCTGTCCCACTCCACAACAGCCAGGCTCTAGCCACAAGCCTCTGTGGCCCAGAGTTGTTGTGCTGGGCAGATCTGCAGTCCCTCTAGCTACAACTGCTCTAGAACTTGATTCCCGATGGGCAATGGGCACCCTATGAGCTCGCTCTGTCCCGCTGGGTGTTAGAAGCACGTGGAGAAGCCTTTGATGCATTATCTTTGGAGTCATGGGTTCTGCAAAGGGGTTCCCCTCCTTTGTCCCAGAAATGGAAAGCCCGTGTCATCCTTCTTCTATGGGGGAAATGGCTTCTTTCTGGATTTGAAATTGACAATTTGAACTTCCTGCTCCGTGTGCTCTGCAGATTCTATTCATTTCTTTTACATCTTATTTTTTTTTCTTGGGTCTGTCTCTTGTCTTTTCTTTTCGTCTGTGTTCCATCCATGGGAAATGCAGATAGCCCTCCTCCACGTAAGTGCCTCTTCATACCCCGTTCCCTGTCTATATAGTGTTAACCTCTGCTAGTCCTAGTTCTTAATTTAGTTCCAGTCCCTTCTTGTCCTCTAGAGGCTGGCATAGATGGTACTGCCCGGACTTTAACCACACTGACCTTAGTCTAGTTGTGCCCTTGTTAACAACCATAGGTTACTCCAAGAGGCTAACACTCTTCCTCTTTTAGAGCATGCAACTTCTGTGTCTTTGGAAATTGTGTGTATTTATTAATTTTGTGTGTGATGATCGCCCCGTGACTACAGTAATGTTGGCTGAGCCAAGCATGATGAAGTCCATGTGTGGCCCCTGAGGCCCACGCTCTAGCCCCTTCACTCCTTAGCCAGGACAACAGGAAGGTGACCATGCTCAACATTTTTTCAAGGGTACAAAAAAAGAAAAGAAAAAAGAAGAACCTGAAAGGATTTTCATGGTTGCTCTAAGGCAAAGAATGCAGCTCAGTTTCTTCCTTGCTTTCCTGACTTGCAGGTCAGAACTTTAGGGAAGCAACAGGGCTGACCATAGAGGTCCCTACAGCCAGTCATATAAAGATGTGGTGTGGATTTGGGTTCCGAGTCATGGCATACCCTTGGGCAGCTGTGGGAGTTTGCTCCACAGTTCCACCCAGCTGTGTTCATCAGCTCTTGATTATTTGCCGTGGCTGTCTCCAGGGTTGTAAAAGAATGCTCAGCTAACTCCAGAACTCTCCCATCTAGCATGGAAAAAAATAGGGATCTCACAAGAAAAGGACACCGTAATGCCATAAGCTGCAAACACAAGACTGGGAGACCACAGGGAGCAGAGACTATAGGAAGTACTGCTGCAGTCTGATTCTCTCAGCCTATATAAACATCCCCCAAACCTCACTCCCACCTGGGCCAGGCTCAGCAGTGTGGAGGGCAGCCCTGTCCGTAAGGCCCAGAGGAAAAGCTATGCAGGAAGCTGTGTGCCCTTGTCATAAAAATCTCCCAGCTTCTGTAAGGCACTCAAGAAAGCTTATCTTGTTGAAATATATTCAGAAACATTGCAGCAGCAGCAGAAACCACGTAGCTCAATGTAGGCGTTTGAAGATTTTTGAGCAAGACCCAAATTTGCTATTTCAGCAGAGATGGTGTCTGAACGCCCCAGCTTTGGAAGGTGACAGAGTGAGGAGTGACAGCTGTCAGCATGGGGCTGGTTCCAGAAGGGCAGCTCCAGGCAGGGCAGTATCTTCTGTTGACCCTTGGCTGATTATTTCCAAGCTTCTTCCCTTTGGACTTAACCAATGACTGAGTGGTGGCTTAGTTACATTGAAGAGAATACTTAGATGAGGTGTCCCATTGAGTTTCTAACCGGACCTGAAATAGACTAACTGCATTGAGGACTTGAAAGGCCACAGTTGTTAGAGTATTTTTTTAAAAAAATACTATCATAAAAATAGAGGTTATATGTTAAAGTCAATGTTGAAAATGAAATATTTAATTAAAATCCAAATTTTAATTAAATTTTAATTAAAAAGAGGTGGATCTCTAGACCTTACTGTTTATTACCTGCTAGCATGAAAGCAGATAAGCCTCCAAGTTTCCAGAGAAGCCCTTTGGAAACTAGTGTTTTCATTTCCCTATTCCATGTCTCATCATTCCATGAATGATTACAGCAGCAGGCATGCCTGGTGGCACGAAAAGTCAGTTTTTCTCGATCATGTAGTAAAGTTATAGGTTAAGGAATTCAAAAGCAAACCTTTTTTAGATAAGAGGAACCAAGTCATTGTCTTGAGTTGAGCACACCCTTCTTAAGCACTACAGCAAGATGAGGTGCTCAACACGTGATAACATCATCTCACTAAAACGACCTTTTCATTGTGGCTTTCTCTTTGGTCTCATGGCCTGTCCCTGAAGAGACTGGGCCTAGTCCCAAGAAAGTGATATCAGCATTTACCACCATTGTAACAAACCATACTTTTTCCCTACTGGGATGTGATGACAAGTATTAAGAATGACTTTCTCTGAGTTACCACTCCCACTCCTTGCTTAGCACAAAGGTTGCCTGAACCCAGGTCATTCAAATTAGCCCTCGTTTAGCTGTGTGCTTGTGTTGGTTCCTGGCACTGACTCATCTTTCCCTTGTTCTAATACTATTGGGGAGCCCATGCACAGCTGCATCCTGGGACACTGGAGTAGAGTGCTGGGCATAGCTGCATCCCTAACAGAGAGAAGCCACAGGCAGCAGGGCCTAACATGGGCAATAAGGTTTGCTCTCCACCCCTTGGGTTAGGAAGTGTCAGGTGACAAAAGCATCTGGTGGTAACTCATCACTTGGAGTTTGCTGAAATATTTCAGAGGTGGTATTGCTTTCGTGGTTCATTATGGAAACAACTCGTCATTCAAAGGCATAGATGTATTAAAACAGGAAATGAACGGGTACATTGACAAGACTCTTGCTTCTGAGCCAGTAGATTAGAAAGCAGGGATGAGCAACTTAGAGGTTCCTTTGTGTGCAGTTCATAAAAGTACCTGAAGGTGATGAGGAATCTGAGGTGCCAAAACAATTCCTGTTTCCTGTACTTTTTAGCCAAATGACTGTGCTGTCACCACACTCAGGTGGAAAAGATCATTGCCTCTGCTGGCCTTGGAGGGACTCCTGGACTTATTAGGAACCTTTCCTTGCATGACAGAGCCACATCCCCATAGAACTTATTTCCTGGCCTGGATGTACTCACTCTTACTTTGCTCTGTCCCATAAAGTAGAACAGACTGTTTTCTTCTAGAAGTATAGAGATTCTGAATGAATAGATGACATTATAAATAGTGTTTGAGATTTTTGTTTTTGCATACAGTCCTTCAGAAAACAGACTTACACATTCAAGTTGAATGCACCAATACACAGGAATTCAAAAACTTCATGTGTAATGGGATTAAAAGATAAATTTATTCTGATGCAAAAATTTTGTGAAGTCATGCATCCCTTTCTCATAAGATCCATGAATTTTTTAATAACCTTCACATGCATGGATTTCAAAATCTTTTCCAGCAAGATAAAATTGCCTTTTAATTTCATTTTCTACAAAAATTTTGGAAGTACTTTTTTTATGTGGTTAAAGCACATAAAAATTCCATTCCTTTGGCAGAATTATAAGTTGGTGCTAACAGTTAAAGCCAAAAAAGTAAACAAAGGAAAAAGAGAAGGTGATATGTACTTACCAAACTAACCAGATCAGCCAATTAGAAGCAGTTAGTGGCTGCCTCCATGTGTTTGAGGAAGATCAAGTAAGGACATTAAGACAGTGTTGGAGATTTGCTGATGTCTTCCCCAGTGTTCATCGAGCTCTCAAAAGGGGACTTTGTTTTGTGATTGTTGATGGGTTGACTGCTGAATATTTGCCAGTGACAAACCAAAGATCCATTCAGTACCCTAGACTCCAGATGTGTAGCTTCTAACTATCCTCCATACAGAAAGTTGGTGAGCATTGCTTAGCTTCTGTGTCTTCAGGGGAGTTGACACCAGATATGACTTGTATCACTCTTCTACAGCAGCACCCAAATTATATTACAAAGGCTTTCAGAATGTTGTTTTTTATTTACTTACTTATTTTTATTTATTTGAAGGAGAGAAGGGAAGAGAGAGACCTTTCATTGTTCTCCTCTCAAATGCCTGCAATAGCCAAGATTGAGCTAGGTCAAAGCGAGGAGGCCAGAACTCAAATCTCAGTGTTCCACATGGGTGGTAGGGACCCAAGCACTTGAACCATCACCTGCTGCCTCTCAGGGTATGCATTAGCAGGAAGCTGGGACTGGAAACATAATCGGGCCCCAAAACCAGGTTCCCAAGGTGTGAGATACAGACATTCTAAGAAACAACTGCTGAGCCAAACACATACTCTCAAATAATCACATTCTGTAGGACTATTTTTTGGAGAAGGGAATGACACTAATGGTTGTAAAACCATCTGAATGGCAAATAATCATGAACCTGACCCCATAGGAAACATTAAGCAGCACAATCATTTCCATTCCACTGTTTACTGAAATTAGAAATGTAGGTTGTGTTGCAAATATGTACCATACCTGTAAATATATGGCTATATTTAAACGTAGATGAGAGATACAAAGTGACTTTTAAAAAGCTGATGGAAAATGGAATGAAAAGCTAAGGTTTATTGAGGTGGGTGTTTGACCTCGTGGTGAAGCACTCCACATCCCAAGTTGGGGCGCCTACGTGGAGGCTGTGGCTCCCCATTCCAGCCTTCTGCTCATGCAGACTCTGGGAGGCAGTGGTGATGGCTCAAGTCACTGGCCTTCTGACAACCATATGACGATCTACATTGAATTCTGGATCCCAGCTTTGGCCATCTGGCCATGGTAGGCATCTAGAGAGCAAATCAATGGTGCTCTCTAACAATGTGTCTGTCTATATGGAAAAAAAAATAGACAAGTATTTTGGCTGCAAAAAAAATTTGAAATGCATGAGTGGCATTTTCATACTTACTTTTCCAGGGATTTCCTGATGATCCCTCATGTACAGCATAAAAAGTCCTCAGAGTTCTTCCTTTGCTCACTTTATGTCGAGTGCCAGGTCATTCCCTGTGAGCCCTCTGACCCTGTGGAGACAGTCCCACACAATTGACTTTGTTTCCGTCTGCAGCTATTCTCAGCCTATCCCATACCTGATCAGCAGGGTCTGGCAGGTGCCCAGGCTCATGGTTTGAAGGTTGAAGACCCCCTGAGCCCCATGGATCTGTGACCACCTATTCCACGCACGGTGTTTCTCTTCCCCATTGTAACTCACTCTAGCCCCTCCTTCTGACATACTGTGTGTGTTTTCATTCCGTGTTTGTGTGCTTCCATACCTTTCTCCCCCGTCTTTTTTTTTTCACCTTCGTTTTTCTTTCTTCAGCGGCTCCTGCTAGCTCTTCTACCCCTGTTCCATTGTCTTCACCAGAGAGTGAGTATCATTTTCTTCATCTGTCTCCCCTGCAGGTGCTTTCCCGCAGCCAGAGTGGTCTGCTTATTGCTGTCTTCTTCACTGGTAGTAATTCACCTCCAGGGCCAGAAAGCTCAGCCAGGGCTTAGGGAAGCAAATGAGAAGAGAAATAGGCACACGGTCTCCCAGATTAAAGGAAGCAAGCAAAGGGTCTTGCTCTGGACAGAGCACTGTGTAATCAGGCAGCTCGAGGCTGCTCCAGCCAACCCTGTCTCCAGGAGTCAGGGTGGCTTGTGCCAGAGCCGGTATTTGGAGAAGCCAAAGGCATTGCCAAGAAAAATATCTGTTCTGCAGGAGCATACCAAATGCTTTGAGGTGTTGTGCCTTTACCCTCATTTTAATTGGCACAGTTGGATTCAAATGTTGAAATTAGATACGAGGCCTAAAGCTTTTGTGTTATGCATAGATGCATAATTTCTTGTAAATATTTGGGAGACGATACACAGTGTGTGCCTACAGATGTGCCTGGCAGTAGGTACTTAAGGCAAATTATTTAACCCTCTGTGATTGAGCCTTGCTATGCTTAATGTACGGTTGCCCTCCCTCACCAACACATGCACACTGCTGGTGCAAGCCGCACAGGTGAGCAGGTGAACCCAAGTCCACTCAGTTACCCTGGGTCAGTACCATGGAGTGATCACACTAGTCAGTCTGCTGGTCAGTCCCAGGCTTTACCATTTTATTTTCCTCTTCTGCCCTTTTGTTCCTGTGAATCCACAAGAGGAAAGCACACCAGGCCTGCTGCTTTCACAAAGGCTTGAACCTGTTTTTCTAAGGTTGAACAGCAGTTTGAGATCGCTGTCGAATGAGGCTTAGGGTGTGATGCCAGCATGGCAGGGTGGCCCTGCACAGCTGGCTTTATCTGTCTGGGCCTTGCCTCTGGAAATGGCTCAAGCCCCAATCCCAAAAGCCCTTTCTCACCATCTGTTTGACCCAGAAACACGCCCACCTACCCACCCCATGCCTTTCCCAGCACCGCACTATGACAGAAGGAGCTCCAGCACCGGGACCAGGCGGGCCCAGCTCTGCTGCCTCTGCCTGTGGTTCCACAGCCCCAGATGACTCACTCAGCCTCTTAAACCTCCCCTCTAAAATGGAGGACAAATTCCACTTGCCTCTGAAACTGTTACAGAAATGAAAGATAGAGGCTTAAAAAGAAAAAGAATTAATAGTAAGAATAGAGGAAGGCTGTGCTGCTTTTTTGCTGTGTGGGAGTTATTTGTCAGAAAAAAATCTCTGAAAATCTCTTCAGAGTGTTTATAGGAATATTGAGAACAGGAGTAACAAACCATCTCCTGCACCATCTCTGTCTTTAGGGTGATGTCTGTATATCATCTGGAGACATACATGTATTATGTATTTAATTTATCTCCATTCTCTCTTTCACCTTCCTCTGCCCTTTCTGTCCTTTGCGTTTCCATAGCAACCTGGCCTCTTGCTGCCCTTCCAGCCACGCAGCCGGCTAGTGAGTACAGAGAGCCCAGCTGCTCCCTCCAGACCTCTACTGCTGCTTGTTTTGGAGCCCTCTTCTGGGTCACAGCACTGCCTGTTGTGTTCCCTTTTGTTCAAAGCAACAGTTGTGAATGCATGCAGGCTGCAAGCCCGGTGTGGTTTCCTAAGCATGTCGTCTACATGGCCACGAGAGCCACACCTCCCTGCGTATCCCCAGCAGAATCAACGTGATTCTTTGTAGAATGCCCTGTGCACAAGGAGACCTTTCCAAGTTGCCTGTCAAGTTAAGAATAAAAAAGGATGGAGGAAATGCTGAGGAGACAAAAGAACATCATCTCCTTCCAGCTGTTGCTGCCCCTCCCTCTGAAACGCACACCTAACACATGCACACACCTCACTGAGGAGTGCTGGGAGAGAATTTGCAGAAACACTGAGATTGAGAAGGAGGAGTCGTGAAAGCAGTTGCTTTGGAGATGGGGGAGAGTGGTACAGAGGAGGAGGGGGGAGCTCCTGTACCCTAACTGTACTCCTTCCTTTGTCTTGCTGTACCCAGAGTTCTTATGGGAAGGAGTGAGCCTCTCCTCCCGTCTGCCTCCTTTGCAAGCTTCTGTGTGAATGCTAGGAACAGCATAGATGGAAGAAGCCTAATCCAACTCTCTCTAGGTTCAAAGTCCAGGGCAAAAGCTGGACAGCAGAATCCCGGGTCAGCCTGTAAGCTCTCTTACTATCATGTAGAGTGAAGAACTGAAAGCACCATACATGTTACAGGCTAGTCCCCGTAAGACTCCTGTGAAGATGTGCTGAGGGCCCAAGCTCCCTGACAAGGCAACAGAAGCATGCGTGAGTGCACGCTTGTCATGTCTAAGCACTAGAGCTGCACGGAGCCCTGAAAATGTTATTGAGTTTCTGGGTGCACAGGGAAAAAAAAGAAAAGAAAAAACAATACCCATACCGTTGAACAGAAGTAGGCAGGTGTACAAAACCTGGTACCAGCTCTTCAGGCCTCAGCTGGCTGATACACAATTGAATGGAGAAGGAAAGAGTTTTTCAATTGCACAGTGCATGAAATTGTTCTTTTTTATTTTTTTTTTCCTTTACTGCAGGACACTTCCTTTACTGCAGGACTCAGTGAAGGGTCTGCTTTCTTGGTGTTCCCCCCCCACGTGTGTGCTATGATGCATTTTAATTCCTGGTGCTTTTGAGTTTTCATTTTGTCAGCAGAGCAGAGCTAGTGACAATGAGCTATGCTCACACAGCTTTCATTCAGATGATGAAGGGGTGTGTTTTTCCATTTGGAAAAGGACCACAGCTCACAGCACCCTTTCTTCTACAGTGACTTCTCTGATTTTCCAACTTGGTGCAACCTGTGTCCAGCACCAAGTGCGCCATCAACATGAGGGCATTTGCACGTGATGTCCATTTTAAAGTGTCTCGCTGTAGGTTCTTCTTCTCTATCCGTGAAATATACACCATTCCTTCCAGATTTTTCCTGAAGGGAGAATGAAATCACTTTCTCCTGATGTGTTTTCATTTTTAAACCCAGCGCTTCTTCCCACAGAGATAATGCATAAAAGCTATAGTCTCTTTGTGTAGAATCACTTGATGACTAATCTACATTATAGGACCCAGTGAATACTGAGATAAAGAAAAAGCCATCCCAGTTGGGCAGCAGCCTGTAGTTAGCATAAACATACTGCTCAGCAGGAAGACAGAACATAGTACATAAGATTGTGGTGGAACTAACAATAAGGTG